TGTGCTTGACCTTACAGTTGTTAAATGGCGCGTGATGTTTGGATGATAATAATTATATATGCAGCATCAGCAGTTATATTGCAAAAATAAACTGGGGCGCGTTTATGTTCTACATCAATACTCAGCGTTCAATGCATTTATTTGTATTCTCTTTACTAATTTGTAGGAGAGCCTAGATATAGGACGTGAGTACCACAAGTGAGACAAGGCAGTCTACGAAGCAAAACACGTGGTCGTATCTTGAACGCCAGACAGGGTAGACACCTGACGTGTGTGACCAGTACGTGGCAGCTTTCCCTGAAGCACGATGGAGTACGTGAGAATTAATTCCAGGGAAAATTCATATGAGTGCAAACTGTGTGATGCTTCCTTCTCCTATCTGAGTAGAGTGAAGTTACACATAAGAAGTCACACGGGAGAGAAACCGTATAAGTGCGCGCTGTGTGATGCTACCTTTGCACAATCGGGGCGCCTGAAAACACACATGAGAAGTCACACGGGAGAGAAACCATATAAGTGCGATTTGTGTGATGCCGCCTTCTCAGATTCGAGTGCTTTCAAAAGACACATGAGAAGTCACACGGGAGAGAAACCGTATAAGTGTGGTCTGTGTGATGCCGCCTTCTCAACATCGGGTCACTTGAAGACACACATGAGAACTCACACGGGAGAGAAACCGTATAAGTGCCAGCTGTGTGATGCTGCCTTCATACAATCGGGTTCACTGAAGGTACACATGAGATCTCACACGGGAGAGAAACCGTATAAGTGTGATCTGTGTGATGCTACCTTCTCCCGCTTGGACCATGTGAAGACACACCTGAGAACTCACACTCAAGAAAAACCGTATAAGTGCGAGCTGTGTGATGCTGCCTTCTCACAATCGGGTAATCTGGAGACACACATGAGAAGTCACACAGGAGAGAAACCGTATAAGTGTGAACTGTGTGATGCTACCTTCTCCCGCTTGGACCATGTGAAGACACACCTGAGAACTCACACTCTAGAGAACCCATATAAGTGCGAGCTGTGTGATGCTGCCTTCTCACAATCGGGTAATCTGGAGACACACATTAGAAGTCACACGGGAGAGAAACCGTATAAGTGCGAACTGTGTGATGCTGCCTTCTCAATATCGTGTAATCTGAAGACACACCTGAGAACTCACACGGGAGAGAAACCATATAAGTGCGATCTGTGTGATGCCGCCTTCTCAGAATCGGGTAGTGTGAAAAAACACATAAGAACTCACACGGGAGAGAAACCATACAAGTGCGAACTGTGTGATGCTGCCTTCTCAGAATCGGGTAGTGTGAAGCGACACATGAGGACCCACACAGGTGAGAAACCGTATAAGTGCGCTCTATGTGATGCTGCCTTCAGAGACTCGGGTAATTTGATGACACACATGAGAACCCACACGGGCGGGAAACCATATAAGTGCGATCTGTGTGATGCTACCTTTGCACAATCAGGTAATCTGAAGAAACACATTAGAACTCACACGGTAGAGAAAACGACAAAGAAAAAGACGAAAGAAAAAATCATTTAAATGTAACATTTGAAGTGAAGAGTTAACTCTG